CTATGTAAGATACATTAAATTAAAATTTTATGTGAAGAATAATACAATTATTTTTTATTACTTTCAGATTCGCAATGTATTTCTAATACACGACAAGGTACTATGAAAACTAAACGTCAGGGAAACAGAAATATAGTCCCACAAAGTCTTACTAGTCATACAAGGTTTGGATCTAGATTTTAACCGAGGTTAGTATAAAATTAAAGTATGCATGAATGTACGTATGTATGCATGTAGACATAATTGTAAGAAATATTGATTCTTATTTTATCATGTTTATTACATTTTTTTTTTTATTATAATAACATAATTATTGTAAATGTGAGTCAATTAATAATAAGCTTAAAATTAAACAGTTTTTTGAATAATACTTAACTCTGATTACTCTAATAAAGTAAATAAGGGTTTAATTGATTCAAATATCACAAAAAGCTTTATATGAATTACAGTTGTGGAGGATGCTGAAATAATAATCGATACACGTGCAAAAACATCACGTGATGATGTCATTGCTTCTTACAATTTCTATGGTACAGCAATAGAAGAGGATGATTTTATTCGTAAGTAAATTTATTCTTTAAATACAATTACACAATATCGATCAGATTATAAAATAAATATTGTATAAGTTTAGTATCACTCAATTTTATGATTTGCAAAATTACAATTTATTTTAATATATAAAAAATTAAATTAATTTTGTGATACATTCTGTACTATAACACATTCAATATAATAAGTTAAATCAATATTGGATATGTAGGATACATAAAATTAAAATTTTATTCACAAATTAAATGGTAAATAAATATTTTTTGTAACTTTTCGGATCACAATTCACTTTAAACACATTAATCTGTCAAAAGTTTTTTTGAAATATTTCAAATATTAATAGTGGTATTGTTTTTTTCATTATTTTTTAGATGTATAGTCCACTGAAAACCAAGTGAACATTGATGAACACCTTGGTGATGAAAATATTTCTCCTTTCCAAGAGGAAAGATTAAGAATGAAAGGTCGGGCAATGCATTATGAAGGAGGTTAGTATGCAAATAATTCATAAACAATGATTTTTAGAACGGAAAGTTTAAAATTATAAAATCGACAAAAGTGATTTTAATATTACGTTCAATTTTATTCAATATAGCAATGTAACTAATTAATATAAAACAACATTGTTAATATTTAGGATTTCAACGTCATTTATAAATTTGGGATTAAATTACTTAAAATTCCTTCCCATAACAGTCAATAATATTTTAGAAAACTATAGTCTATATACATAAAATAAATTTTCAGAAATGTTTACATATTAATCATTTATT